TATCTCACCAGTCTCCTCAAGGGTTGTTTACGCTTCTCAAACATTACTATAGTTTCACTTGTTGGTGTGGTGATTTCACCATTTGAAGGTTTAAAGTCTTATTTGGCTGTCTAATTAACTTTTTGTCTATGCAGTCTTCCCGACCCCAATATACAAATAGTATTTATTTACAAAATGATTATTGTGAATCCTCCTGCGCTTCTATGGAAAACCCCCCTCCTAATTGGTAAGCTGCTAACACTCCAACCGATACCCCAAACAGTGTCCAAATGTAAATAAATTAGTGTAGCGCTAAATATACAAATAAACCTGGACCACTATAATAATGCATAATGAATAATGTGATAAGTGCTGTGATCCTTTCTCAGTGCTCTTAAAACACTAAATAACCTCATAAAATAACACTCTATTAGAAGTACATTATATATTAATAATCCATAAACATAAATATTGTGATGGTGCCACTTCAAAGAAATAATAAATAAATAAATCAATATTAAGTGATGGTGCCACTTTAACTTCATTCAATGTCCAATGTTCAAACTCCAAATCCGTCTATTCCAAGTGTTCTCTATATACATGCACAGTGTTTATATAGAAATAGTGCCACTCGTGAACCAACACACTTATTATCCACTTCGGCTGCAATGCCTGCTCACCTCCTTTCTGCGACCCCTAAGGGCCCTCAAGCTTTTAGGATCACCCTGGATCCACAACACTCCTGGTTGGTATTCCTCCTATCAGACCTCCTCCACTCCTTCACTGTTATGCCTCCCAGGCTCCTCACCAACGATTGTCTGGAAACTCTCTCTCACAGAGTTAGTGAGTAGAAAAAAAACAGATCTTCCATGGTGTAGTATTTCCAATATGTATAGATTTAATAGCATATAGCCAAAAGGTAACTCACATTCGGTTTGTACAGCGGCAATTCCGTCCCTTGATGGGCAAACTGCAAACCTTTGATGATACTTCCATGTCCTTGGTTTTAGCAGAGTCCCTGCTAAAACCAAGGACATGGAAGTATCATCAAAGGTTTGCAGTTTGCCCATCAAGGGACGGAATTGCCGCTGTACAAACCGAATGTGAGTTACCTTTTGGCTATATGCTATTAAATTATACATATTGGAAATACTACACCATGGAAGATCTGTTTTTTTCTACTCACTAACTCTGTGAGAGAGAGTTTCCAGACAATCGTTGGTGAGGAGCCTGGGAGGCATAACAGTGAAGGAGTGGAGGAGGTCTGATAGGAGGAATACCAACCAGGAGTGTTGTGGATCCAGGGTGATCCTAAAAGCTTGAGGGCCCTTAGGGGTCGCAGAAAGGAGGTGAGCAGGCATTGCAGCCGAAGTGGATAATAAGTGTGTTGGTTCACGAGTGGCACTATTTCTATATAAACACTGTGCATGTATATAGAGAACACTTGGAATAGACGGATTTGGAGTTTGAACATTGGACATTGAATGAAGTTAAAGTGGCACCATCACTTAATATTGATTTATTTATTTATTATTTCTTTGAAGTGGCACCATCACAATATTTATGTTTATGGATTATTAATATATATAATGTACTTCTAATAGAGTGTTATTTTATGAGGTTATTTAGTGTTTTAAGAGCACTGAGAAAGGATCACAGCACTTATCACATTATTCATTATGCATTATTATAGTGGTCCAGGTTTATTTGTATATTTAGCGCTACACTAATTTATTTACAGTATTTATTTACAGTTCAAACAATCTATTGTCTTGTAAAAGAACTCACTTCACTCATTACCCATTTCTTAACTAGAGTCCTTCGAGGGTTCAACCAAGACAAATTAACCCTTAACGTCCGGCTATGCTGACTTGCTGTTATATAGGATCCTAGATTGTAAGCTCGTAAGAGTAGGGCCCTCTTACCCCTCGTACGTTGTTTGTTGTTGTTGTACTGTGCCATGTATTGTCCCCCCTATTGTACAGCGCTGAGCAAACCCTTTGGCGCTATATAAACTCGTAGTAATAATAATAATAATAATAATTATGCCTTGATAAAATCATGTTTTTGAGATGTAAATTCAAAAGGCCCACAACATTCTAATACTTCTAACTTCCTTTAGTGAGCTGCTGCACTACAATCCCAAGCTGTTTTTGTCAGCCCTAAGTCCTCCGGGGATGGACTGCAGAACTCCACCCTGAAGGAGGTGTTCTGTAACCCAGCAGGAAAGAATTGAACTCAAACAGGAAATGAGGAGCTCACTGGATTTTTGGCAGAATCATCTGGCATTTTTCCTTTAAAAGAGGCAAAACGTGAAACGTGCATGTTCTGCTGAGATGTACAAAATATGTATTGTTGCTTTTTTAGATTTTATCTCCAGACAATTTTAACCTTGATCCATGTATTGGCTATCAACAGTTCTAACTGAGCAAGCTGATTCGCCTGAATATATGAAGGCAGATTTGCTCGGTCTGTAGAGAATCATACCATTCTTACATTGTACAATCTATTATTATTGGCCGCTTTGTGTAAATGTTTGAAGATCAAACAAATCTGCATGAAAGCATTCAAGCAAATAAAAAATGCAAATCTGCGTTATTTCCAATTCAAAAACCTAGAGCTGGGCAATGCCTCCCTAAAATGTATTTTGTCCCCTAGATATCCTTTACTGTAGCATTTCCAGTTATTTATAACATCATAACAATGTCTTTCCATTAAATACACAACGCCCCCTCTGTTCCTCTGGATCAACTGTGGGTAAAGGATTATAACTTTTTTTTTTTTTTTTTTTTTTTAATGGTTGAACTGGATGGACTTTTGTCCTTTTTCAGCCAGACTAACTGCCGTTTCCCTGAAAATAAGACCTACCCTAAAAATAAGACCTAGTACTGTTTTTGGGAATTGCTGAAATATAAGACCTAGCCTGAAAAGAAGACCTAGTTGTGATCAGCTGTTCCACCACCTCTGGCCCTGTGTACACCAATATCTACTGTCTCCTATAAACACACAAGTGCGGTGTTTGAGTTTGTAAGTGACAGCACCATCCGCTCCCACAAACCCCCCTACCTCTGTACTCACTGTGGGACAGGGAAGGAACAGATATCTGAGGGTGCAATGTGTTTAGGGGTGGGGCATCTCATGCTGCAGCGTAATGCATGGAAGCCAATGCCCCAGGGGTGATCATTGGCCAGTGAGGAAGAGGCGGAGTGGTGAGTGAATGCGCTTGGTGCACTGTTTGGGAAGATAGGACCCGAAGCTCACTTCTGCATCCGCTGTCTGCGACTGACCCCTGCATCCCCTTTCTGCGGCTGACCCCTGCATCCCCTTTCTGCGACTGACCCCTGCATCCCCTTTCTGCGGCTGACCCCTGCATCCCCTTTCTGCGGCTGACCCCTGCATCCCCTTTCTGCGGCTGACCCCTGCATCCGCTGTGAAAAATGTGAAAAAAGTTTAAAAATTATAATTTTTGGTTATTAATTAATTTGGGTTTTTTTTTTTTTTTTTTCACTAAAAAGATAACGGAATACATTTTTGTTCCAGGTTTGATTAAATATTCGCAAAATTTTATAAGAAAAACACTTTTTTTTAAAAATCCCAGCGGTGAATAAATACCACCAAAATAAAGCTTTATCTGTCTCAAATAAATGCTAAAAAATTCATATGGGTGCAGTGTTGCATGACCGCGCAATTGTCATTCAAAGTGTGATAGCGCTGAAAGCTGAAAATTGGCCTGGACAGGAAGGGGGGTGAAAGTGTCCGGACTGGAAGGGGGGTGAAAGTGTCCGGACTGGAAGGGGGGGTGAAAGTGTCCGGACTGGAAGGGGGGTGAAAGTGTCCGGACTGGAAGGGGGGTGAAAGTGTCCGGACTGGAAGGGGGGTGAAAGTGTCCGGACTGGAAGGGGGGTGAAAGTGTCCGGACTGGAAGGGGGTGAAAGTTTCTGGACTGGAAGGGGGGTGAAAGTGTCCGGACTGGAAGGGGGAGGGAAAGCGTCCGGACTGGAAGGGGGAGGGAAAGCGTCCGGACTGGAAGGGGGAGGGAAAGCGTCCGGACTGGAAGGGAGAGGGAAAGCGTCCGGACTGGAAGGGGGAGGGAAAGCGTCCGGACTGGAAGGGGCAGGAAAGCGTCCGGACTGGAAGGGGGAGGGAAAGTGTCCGGACCGGAAGGGGGGGGGAAGCGTCCGGACCGGAAGGGGGGGGGGGAAGCGTCCGGACCGGAAGGGGGGGGGGGGGGGGAAGGCGTCCGGACATGAAGTGGTAAAGTGAAATGAACAGTTGAAATGAAAAAAAAAAAAAATGCCCATTACTTACAGTATACAGACCACAAAGCTGTATGTAAATCGGTGTTAGTGATGCAATGAGGGAAATAAGGTGCAGCCAATCACAGCAGATTCTGTAATCGGGGTTTTCATTCCTTGGCTCTCAGATGTCAAAAACAAAAGTACTGAACAAATGCAACCTTCACAAGCAATACACACATACAAGAGAGCCAACTATCTAAGCAATGCAAGGTATCCAGCTCCAACGTTGTCAAAGTTAATCTTTTCATTTTTCCATCTGACTTCAGTAAAGTTGTTATTTATGAGATATTCACAGTCTGATTGTTTACGTCGATTTGAAATCTGTCTTCAGCTGTCTCATTGTAACAGTAATAGTATTTGCCAACAAATAAGCCGACACCCATGATGCTGAAAATCAGCCAAAATATAAGGCGGACCAGCAATGCATTCATAATGGAAGCGATAGATCCAACCAAAGCGTTGACTACAACCTGTGTTGGAAGAAAAGAAGACTGTAGTAAAGTCCATAACCTACTATTGAACATAGACTTGATACTATGGGAGGTGGGGGATGATTGGAATTAAAGGCCACTGACAGGTACCACCTTACGCCCACCCTATAGTACAATGACAGGCGCAAGGTGGTTCTCCCGTTCTGATAGGACGTCATATGACGTCCTTCCATTCTCATTGTGCATGTGTGGCTCAGGGAGCGCGAAACGATCGGCGGTGCACTAGGTCCCTTGGACACAGCGGATCACGGAAAGAGCCGAAGATGTCGGCGCGGTCATGTGATCAGCTGTGTCCAATCACAGCTGATCACATGTAAACATGGAAATGCAGGTTATCGGCATTTCTCTCCTCTCGAGCTGTCACGCTGACAGAGGAAAGGAGAGGAGAGCCGGTAATTTGCTTTCCGCGGAGGTGACATGTACACTGATCATCAGGGCAGTGATGATCAGTGTGGCCCCATCAGTGCCACGTGCCAGTGCCCATCAGTGCCATATCAATGCCACATATCAGTGCACATCAATGCCTCATCTCAGTGCCCACCTGAGCTGCCTTTCAATGTCACCCATCAGTGCCGCCTTTCAGTGCCTATCAGTGATGCCTGTCAATGCCCATCAGTGCAACCTACCACTGCCTCCTCATCAGTGCCACCTATAAAGTGTCTATCAGTGCCCATCAGTGCAACCTACCACTGCCTCCTCATCAGTGCCAATCAGTGCCACCTATAAAGTGTCTATCAGTGCAGCCTATCAGTGCCCATCAGTGCAGCCTCATTAGCGCACATCAGTGAAGGAGAAAAATCACTTATTTACAAAATTGTATAACAAAAACTAAGAAAACGTGTTTTTTTTTTTCTTCAAAATTTTCAGTGTTTTTGGTTTAAGAAAAAATAAAAATCCCCGAGGTGATTAAATACCACAAAAATAAAGCTCTATCTGTCTAAAAAAAAATGATGAAAATTTCATATGAGTACAGTGTTGCATGACCGCTCAATTGTCATTCAAAGTGCGACAGCGCTGAAAGCTGAAAATTGGCCTGGGCAGGAAGGGGGTAGAAGTGCCCTGTAGGCGGGAAGGGGGTAGAAGTGTACTGTAGGCAGGAAGGGGGTAGAAGTGCCCTGTAGGCGGGAAGGGGGTAGAAGTGTACTGTAGGCAGGAAGGGGGTAGAAGTGCCCGGTAGGCGGGAAGGGGGTAGAAGTGCCCGGTAGGCGGGAAGGGGGTAGAAGTGCCCTGTAGGCGGGAAGGGGGTAGAAGTGTCCTGTAGGCGGGAAGGGGGTAGAAGTGTCCTGTAGGCGGGAAGGGGGTAGAAGTGTCCTGTAGGCGGGAAGGGGGTAGAAGTGTCCTGTAGGCGGGAAGGGGGTAGAAGTGTCCTGTAGGCGGGAAGGGGGTAGAAGTGTCCTGTAGGCGGGAAGGGGGTAGAAGTGTCCTGTAGGCGGGAAGGGGGTAGAAGTGCCCTGTGGGCGGGAAGGGGGTAGAAGTGCCCTGTGGGCGGGAAGGGGGTAGAAGTGCCCGGTGGGCGGGAAGGGGGTAGAAGTGCCCGGTGGGCGGGAAGGGGGTAGAAGTGCCCGGTGGGCGGGAAGGGGGTAGAAGTGCCCGGTGGGCGGGAAGGGGGTAGAAGTGCCCGGTGGGCGGGAAGGGGGTAGAAGTGCCCGGGGTGCGGGAAGGGGGTAGAAGTGCCCTGTGGGCGGGAAGGGGGTAGAAGTGCCCGGTAGGCGAGGGGTTAAACATGAACAGATCCTCTAAAGCAGTGGTTCTCAACCTTCCTAATGCCGCGACCCTTTAATACAGCTCCTCATGTTGTGGTGACCCCCAACCATAAAATGATTTTCCTTGCTACTTCATAACTGTAATTTTGCTACTATTATGAATCGTATGTGAATATCTGATATGCAGGATGGATTTTCATTGTTACAAATTTATCTTTTTTTTTTTTTTTTTTTGCAGTAGTTGATGATTTTACATTTACCCTGTAATTATAATTCATGCAGTGTCGTTTTACCTCCAATACTGCTGCTTTCAATGGAGTAGCTGCTTCCAATCACAGCTGATCACATGTCAATAGGGAAATTCCAGTTATCCGGCATTTCTCTCCTTACGAGCTGTCACGCTGACAGAGGAGAGGAGAGCCGGTAATTTGGCATTCCTCGGAGGGAACATGTACACTGATCATCAGTGTGCCCTGATGATCAGTGTAGCCCCAGCAGTCAGTGCTCATCAATTAAACATATCAGTGCCCATCTCAGCTGCCTTTCAGTGCCACCTATCAGTGCCAGTCAGTGCTGCCTATCAGTGCCATATGAGTGATGCCTGTCATTGCCCATCAGTGCCACCTACCAGTGCCTCCTCATCAGTGCCACCTATCAGTGCCCATCACTGCAGCCTCATTAGCACTTATCAGTGAAGGAGAAAAATCACTGATTTACAAAATTTTAGAACAAAAACAAATTTTTTTTTTTTTTTTTAATTTTCAGTTTTTGATTTGTTTAGCAAAAAAAACCCTAGAGGTGATTACATACCACCAAAAGAAAGCTCTTATCTGTCTCAAAGAAAGGATAAACATTTCATATGGGTACAGTGTTGCATGACCGCACAATTGTCATTCAAAGTGCAACAGCACTGAAAGCTGGAAGGACGTTCTCAGCATATTCACTCTGATCATATTTCCACCACTTTCCACTGTGGGGGCGGCACAATGGCTTAGTGGTTAGCACGTCTGTCTTGCAGTAAATGGGTCATGGGTTCGATTCCCGACCATGGCGCCTCCTGCATGGAGTTGGCATGTTCTCCCTGTGCTTGCGTGGGTTTCCTCCAGGTGCTCCGGTTTCCTCCCACATTCCAAAGACATGCTAGTAGGTTAATTGGATCCTGTCTAAATTGTCCCTAGTATGTGTATGTATGAATGTGAGTTAGGGACCTTAGATTGTACACCCCTCGAGGGTTAGGGACCTTAGATTTTACACCCCTTGAGGGTTAGGGACTTTAGATTGTACGCCCCTTGAGGGTTAGGGACCTTAGATTGTACGCCCCTTGAGGGTTAGGGACCTTAGATTGTACACCCCTTGAGGGTTAGGGACTTTAGATTGTACGCCCCTTGAGGGTTAGGGACCTTAGATTGTACGCCCCTTGAGGGTTAGGGACCTTAGATTGTACGCCCCTTGAGGGTTAGGGACCTTAGATTTTACACCCCTTGAGGGTTAGGGACCTTAGATTGTACTCCCCATGAGGGTTAGGGACCTTAGATTGTACGCCCCTTGAGGGTTAGGGACCTTAGATTGTACGCCCCTTGAGGGTTAGGGACCTTAGATTGTACGCTTCTCGAGGGTTAGGGACCTTAGATTGTACGCCCCTTGAGGGTTAGGGACTGATGTGAATGTACAATATGTGTAAAGCGCTGCGTAAATTGACGGCGCTATATAAGTACCTGAAATAAATAAATCTTGGTGACCATGCTCAGACAGATGAGAATCATGATGATTATATCAAATGCTTGTTGGGTAATCCAATCAAAGATGGCATCTTGGAATCTATTGTTTGAAAAAGAAAATGTAAACATTAATGAAAGCCAGATAAGAGTAGATAAATGCTTCTGAACTACTACTTTCTCACACATGGGATTGGGAATCCAGCAGAAAGGGTAGTGGTCAGTGGAATTCAGGGCATGAACTTAAAGATATGTTTGCTGTGTAGCCCTGTTTTTTTTGGGGGGGGGTTATGTGAAATGGCCCACACCAAACAAGCTATGGCGCTAACCTGTATATGAGTAGGCAATCCTGAGCCTTCGCTATATGGAAGAGGGGGTTGTGATAATACAAATGGCAGTGCCTCCACCTAGAATAGGGATCCTGCAATGGAGGAGACTCCCCCCTTTCTAGGAATGTAACAGGCAGACAACTTACAGTAACTATACATAGAAATATAAGCTGGGTGCATTAATACTGCTAACATGTGAAAAAAGTATAGCGAGCGCTACAGGTACAAGAGCACAAGCAGCTAGAACACCAAAAAGGCAACCAATCCTCCTTGCAATAGTCAATAATAAAAGAAAAGTAGGTGCAGCGCTAAAAGCAAAATAAAATATTTCTCTGTAGGATAAATATATAAATATCAGTGGTCAAACAGATATACCACAAGGTGAATAGTGCATTGAGTCTATAAAGGGTGCTGAGAGCACGTACAAAGTTCTCATCCCAGGGTGATGGTAGTAAAAGGTAGAGGGAATCCTGGAAAACAGAGTGCGCACTCACCAGAAGTGCGTTAAAATAACGCATGTAAGGAAGTAGCTGCTGCAAGATCTCTCCAGCATCAGGGATCTGGTCAGGTCGCACTGCGTCCTATCCACTGTCTCACTGCAAGAAGAGGTGGCCAAGTAGCGTCGAACGTGTGAGCGTCAGGGAACTCCTTGGTCCAAAGAAGTGCTGTGGGAGATGGTGCTCTCATAGAGAGCCCAATGAAGGACGCCACATGGTGTAATATTGTTTGACTTGCGTTTAATAGTCAAAAAAAGGGGGGTAAACAATCTCATACAGGTGTCACCACACCTGTATGAGATTAATGCAAAGTTTATATAAAGCAGCCACATAAAACAGGATGTATAAGAATAACATTCAGGAATTACAATTTACCATAAATTGGGAGGTTGCAATTATACCCGGGTATATGTGCATGTAGTATACAGAATACCTCCAACATGGGTTATAGCGCAGTCCGGTTGCAGGGGCCCCTGGAGAGGTGAGAGTCCATAAGATGCACGCTTCCACTTCAGATGCTGCGATGGCGTCCAAGTAACCCGTTCTATGCGGATGATTGCACTGCTTGTCTGACGATCAGCGATGCATCACCTAAAAGGATAAAATGCCCCATCTATCCTTACTCTAAAAAAAAACACTGATATATATATAAATAAATAGAGAGAGAGAGAAATAAAAAAGAGAGAGAATAAAAGAGAGAGACATAGAGAGAGACAGAGAGAGAAGAGAGACATAGAAAGAGAGAGACATAGAGAAAGAGAGAGACATAGAGAGAAAAGAAGAGAAGAGAGAGACATAGAAGAAAAAAGAGAGAGAAGAGAAAAAGAGAGAGAGAGAGAAAAAAAAAAGAGAGAAAAGAAGACATAGAGAGAGAGAGAGAAAAGAGAGAAAAGAGAGAAAGAAGAGAGAGAGACATAGAAAAAAAAGAAAAAAAAAAGAAAAAAAAAAAGAGAGAAAAGAGAGAAAGAAAAAAAAAAAAAAAAAAAGAGAGAGAGAGAGAAAAAGAGAGAAAAAAAAAAAAAGAGAGAGAGAGAAAAGAAGAGAAGACAAAGAAAAGAGAGACAAAAGAGAGAGAGAGAAAAAGAGAGAAAAAAGAGAAAAAAAAAATAGAGAGAAAGACAGAGACAGAAAAAGAGAGAGAAAGAGAAAGAAAAAAAAAGAGAAAAAAGAAAAGAAAGAAAGAAGAAAAAAGAAAGAGAAAGAGAAAGAAGAGAGAGAGAAAAAAGAGAGAGAGAAGAAAAGAGAGAGAGAAAGAGAGAGAGAGAGAGAGAGACAGACAAAAGAGAGAGAGAGAAGAGAGAAACAGACAAAAGAGAGAGAGAGAGAGACAGAAACAGAGAGAGAGAGACAGACAAAGAGAGAGAGAGAGAGACAGACAGAGATAGAGAGAGAAGAGAGAGACAAAAGAGAGAGAGAGACAGACAAGAGAGAGAGAGAGAAAAGAAGAGAGAGAGAGAAAGAGAGAGAGAGAA